CATTCACCCATTCATTAGGCATTTTAAGTGCCCAGCAGAAGGTCTGGCTGCCTTGGGCATGTGGATGTGGATGAGCCCCTGCACTTGCCCTGACACTGCAGTCTTGAGGTCGTCACCCAGAGTGACTATAGACTGGTAGTTAGGGGACAGAAAGAGGGCCATGGGAGTGGGGACAAGGCCAGTGGGTGAGTGTCCAGGACCCAGACCCAGCTGAGCATCCCGACCCCCAGGTGCTGTTGGCATCGTGACAGTCATTAGCAAGGGCTGCCGCTCACACTGTGTGGAGGACTCGCAGAACTACTACACAGACAAGAAGAACATCACGTGTTGCTCCACTGACCTGTGCAACGCCAACAGGGCCCACGCCCTGCAGCCAGCTGCTGTCACACTCACACTGCTCACCGCTCCCGGTGGCCTGCTGCTCCGGGGCCCCAGCAGGCTGTAGGATCCGGGAGGACCCCACTGTGACCCACACGGGCTCTCGGTGCCCAGGGGCCCTGGAGCACTCTTTGCACACACCTGGCCCAGTTGAGGCCCCTCCTAGACCCTAACTCAGGTGGCCCATGCCCCTCTGCCTTTTCCAGCCTGCCATGGCTCCCTCCAGAAGCCCTGCCCAGCTCCTGCTGCTCAGTAGGCTGGGTTCTATTGATGTGGCACTGTTCCAAGTCAATAGAACCCAGCCTGCATGCGGTCCATCCAACTCCCTTGTTGCAGCCTACTCCTTAACCCTTGCTCAGGCATCGCTTCCTCCAGGAAGCCTTCCCTGCCCCACCCCCTCCATCATCTGAGCCATGTTCCACCCATGGTGTCCCCTGCAACCAGCAAGGAGCAGGCACTCAGGAGGGCGCCATGAAGGCTGAGTAGAATTAGGGGCAGGGAATGTGAGGTCCCACAGGCCCAGAGATGAGGTGTGGAGGGGGGTCCAGCTCCCCATAGCCATGGGGGTCCTGGGGCAGGAATCCCAGCACCCAGGAGGCCCTTAATAAAGTCCCCCTGACCTGGTGGCAGAGAGCTCTGTTCTTGCGTGTCCCCAGATGGAAGTCAGGGTTCGAGTGCAGGGCTGTGCTGTGCAGCCACACTGGAGTCCCAGGTCGCCCCATCGGAAGGGTAGAGTTCCCTGCTCTGAGTGCTGATTCTCCCCACTCCCTTCCCAGCCCAGGCGCCCAGCTCCTGTGGAGGAGCTGTGGGCTCTGGTCTCTCCCACGATGCCCCTCTGGGGCCCAAGCCACACTCAGCACACAGACCTGGCTTGGCTCCAGTCCAGGGTCCAGGGTTCAGGGCTGGGCCTTTGTTTCCTGGGAGGGCACCCCAGAACTGGGCGGCCCTGGGCAGAGCATTAGGCCCATTAGGGTCTGAGCTGGGCTGGGGCTTGGAAACTGAGGACTGGTGGGCACTCAGGACTGGGCTTCTGGTGGTACTTTGTGCCCTGAAGCTGTGGGGCCCAGACTCATCGACCCTGCCCGGGTGACCATAGAGGACACCGGGGACATCTGCCCAGAACAGACACCTACCATGTTCCAGGCACTGTTCCAGGCACACCAGAAACAGCAGTGGCCCGGGCTTGGATGGATTCTCCCCGACCTATCTTGATGCCCTAGAGCCACCCCAGATCACGGAGCTTACAGGACAATGGGGTTAGGTGAAAAGGATAAACAGAGAAATATGTAGCATGTTAGCAGAAGAAGCTTGAAAAAGAATAATGCACAGAGAGAGGATCTCACAAACAGCGGTGTGGCTGGAGGGGCTCTGGGGGGCCTGGAAGTCCAGAGGGACGGGCCACACAGTCCACTGAGCAGGGTAGGGAGCCTACAGTGGCCCACACGTCAGCCACACCCTTGGGCAAGGGTCCTCCTCCCTGGGGCTGAGACTCAGGGCGGTGAGGCAGTGCCCCAGACCCCCAGACCCTGTCCTGGGCTCCTGGGTTAGAAATACTTGGGCCCGGGTGAGGGGAGAGGGCAGGCAGGCCCTGTGATGTGGGAGGCCCAGCTGGGTTCTCCATGTCCCGGAACCAGGGGATCCTCTGACCTCCTGAGCTGTCCCCAAGTTCATGCAGCCTCAGGCTGAGCGCCTGAGGGGGGCCAGCCTCCCCCGCCCTCCAGACAACAGAAGGAGGGGCAAGAGCCCCTCCCAACCCAGCAAGCTGGGGCAGTGGTCCTCCAGGACGGAGGGCCGATGGGGGCTCCTCCTCTTGGGGTGGGGACAGCAGGGGGGGAGCCACCTGCAGGAGCAGCCCACTGGCCCAAGGCAGGGTGTGGGTGGGACCCTAATCTCCCTCTCCCCTCACCATCCCGTCCTTTACTACAGAACGGCCAGGAAGAAGGGAGTGCGGGACTCAGACCCCCACACCCTAGACTAGTGTCTGCACCATCTGCGGGACGCTTCCTGTGCAAGCACGCGCAGGTGCATGCCGCGGGTGTGCACACCTGGGCCACGGTACACGCTCCCCAGCAAACTGCTTTCTCAAACATGGATCTTTCCATATCGAGGAATAGAGACCCTCACGGTTCTATCCGGGGGCTGAGGTGTTCCCCTGGACAGACGAACTTGTGTTCGTTTTTAAGGGAACACCCGTGATTCCTTTACATTTGCGACTCCTCTCCTCCATCCCTGGCGTTATTTGCTCCCTTTGCAAGAGGACCAAGGATGGGAATGCTTGGGAATGAGTCTGAGATTACCAGGACCCGGGGGGTGGGGTTAATGAGGTTACAAACTGGAACTGAAAAAGCCACAGGGGCCAGACCGTGATGCACCCTGAATCCACCGCAAAGGCACGGGGGCGGCCGCCCTGCCGAGGTGGGGTACCCCTGGATGTTCTGGAGATTCGGAGGGTCGATTTCCAGGGGAATCTTGAAGCAGTGCCGCTGGGGACCGCTGCGTCCGTTTCTCTTGCAAAGCCCTGCCACCTGGACCGGGAAGTGCGGGAGCCTCTGATTTTGCTCAGATCAGTGGCCGAATCTCCCAGGCCAGGCCGAGTCTTCAAGGGCCTGGGAGAGAGGCAGGAGGGGCTCGGGCTCCCAACCGGGCGCGGGTGGAAGGGGTGGGGGGGGGACGCGGCGGATCCACCGGGACGCTTCCGCGCCTGCAGTGCGAGGCGCCACCGCCAGATGGCGCTGTGGCGCGGCGCAAGGCGGAAGCAAAAGTGGGGTGGGACGCGGGCGGACGTGGGGGAGGACGGACCACTGAGGGCGCGGAGGGGGGGGGGGCCCGGGGGGGGGGGGGGCGGGGCCCTGGCCCGCGGCACTGGCGGCCCCTGGCGCGTCCCTCCCCAGCCGGCCTCGCGAGGTGGTTCGCTCCGGCGGCGCGGCGCTCCCGGCGAGCGGGCAGGCGCGGTGCGGGCACCGGCACCGCCGAGACCAGGGCCGTGGCCTCCGCCGCCGCGCCCCGCGCCCCGCGCCCGCCGCCGAGATGCTGGGGCTGCTCGTGGCGTCGCTGGTCGCGGCGCTCGCCTACTTCGCGCTGCTGGACGGTTGGTACCTGGTGCGCGTGCCGTGCGCCGTGCTGCGCGCGCGCCTGCTGCAGCCGCGCGTCCGCGACCTGCTGGCCGAGCAACGCTACGCGGGCCGCGTGCTGCCGTCGGACCTGGACCTGCTGCTGCACATGAACAACGCGCGCTACTTGCGCGAGGCCGACGTGGCGCGCGCGGCGCACCTGGCCCGCTGCGGGGTCCTGGGGGCGCTGCGCGCGCTCGGGGCCCAAGCCGTGCTGGCCGCCTCGTGTGCGCGCTATCGCCGCTCGCTGCGCTTGTTCGAGCCCTTCGAGGTGCGCACCCGCCTGCTGGGCTGGGACGACCGCGCCTTTTACGTGGAGGCGCGCTTCGTCAGCCTGCGCGATGGCTTCGTGTGCGCGCTGCTGCGCTCCCGCCAGCACGTGCTGGGCACCTCGCCGGAGCGCGTCGTGGAGCACCTGTGCAAGCGCCGGGTGAGCACCCTCTATCCCCGCGCCCCCCCCCCCACACACACTCCCCGGACCCGGGTGCACGGCCCCCGCAGGGCCCTCAGGGCTCCTGGTCTCTGCCCCCTCCCCTAGGGAAGGCCAGCCGCCTGTGCCGCCTTGGGGTGCCCCTGTCCCTCTGAGTACCACTCCAGCCCTTTCCTTTGGATCCAGGGCCTCCCTTCACTAAAGCCCATTCTTCCCAGGAGCTCCCGGGGTCCCCGAATCAACTCCTCATGCACATTCTTAGCATGCTTCCCTCTGGTGGCGGCTTAACCTTGCCCCTCCGGACTCCATGCCATACCCTCCACCGTTCCCAGTACAGGGAACCCCAGACCAGATCCCTCCCAGGAGTCTGAGCCCTGGTGCTGCTGTGTGGCTTGGAGTGTGGAGCCACCCTCTCGGGTCCTTGGTTCTGAATATAAGGGATGGTGTCAATAGGAGGAGGTTACGGGGAATTCCCAAGGACCTGAGGACACCCCACCCCTCCCCCTGTCTTTTTCACAGTTTGGCTCACCGTCCCCTGGGTTTGGGGTGGGGAGATTGAGCCCCAGAGAGCTGCAAGCTTTTCTGCCTTTGCCAGTTGGGGAGAGTACCTGAGTGCCTGCTTAGGGCTGAGGGACCCTCCCCAGGGCCTGCTCTTTCCAGCACAGCCTGATACTGCAGCCTGGCAACAGGGGCCCTGGGGACAAGCTAGGGCACCGCCACGGTGATGGTTTCCAGGGCAGGCTCCAGCCTAAGGCAGGTTCCCAAAAATTTGCCTGGAGCCTCCATGCCAAAGCCAGGGTCTGCCCCAACCCCTAGGTGCCCTAAACCAGGACGCCACCCTCTCTGGCTTTGGACAGGTGCCTCCTGAGCAAGGAGGGACACAAGCTCAGCTTAATTGTGAGAGGCCAACCTTTCCCCCATATCAGAGGTGGGGAAACTGAGGCTCAGGCAAGGGGAACTGCCCAAGGCTGCACCGTGGGCCATGGGCACAGCTCCCTGGTTTTTGTCTCTGTCTCTGAACACCCCCAAAGGTCCTGGTTGTCCCCCATGCCATAGGGACAGAGATGCTTCATGTGTCCCTTCATGTGGACATGTCCCGGGCCACGGAGGCTTTTATTCGAGGGACTGAGAGCTGAAACTAAAAGACAGAGGGAGCATTTCCTGCAAGAGAGGGTGCCAGGTGGCCGGTGTAGGCTGGAAGGGGCTTTGGAGAGAGCTGGTAGCCCCGCTCAGCAGGCATACCCTGAGGACGCCTGGCCACGGATGGGAGGGCCAGGGCGTGGCTGGAGGGGCCCGGGTGCCTGGCCTAGCCTAGCGCCTGGGTCAGGGAAAGCCCCAGACGGAGTCTCGAGTTTAGTGCAGGGCAATCTGAGCCTAGTACCCAGAGATGCTACGTGCTGAAACTAGGGTGGCCTTGGAGCGAGAGCTGGCCTACAGCTGAGTCACTACAGCTGGTCACTGTGGCTTGCTGGGAAGAGAGTGCTCCCGAAAGCCTGGCCTGGATGCTGAGCAGAGCTCACCTATCTGCAGGGAAGGCCAGGGCTGTGGCTCTGAGCCCTTCTGCCCCTGCTTCTCCCCTTGCTCCTGAGAACACCCACAGCCCATCTGCAAGGCCTCTGACCTCTCAGGCCGGACCCCGCACCGTGCCTGCCTCCCCATCACAAAATGGTGGCTGAGTGTGCAGCAAGGCAGCGGTGTGGCTGAGTGGGCAGGGGTGGGGACGGGTAGTCAAGCCCAGGGCTGCGGGGCCAGCTTCTCCTGATCCACCCAAGAAAAGAGAGGCTCCAGGCGAGCCCCTGTCCAGCACTTTGCCAGCAGAGGCGCTCTGACAGCCGCCCCTCCGCCCCTCCACACCCCCACCCCTCCATTCCCCAGCTCCAGACTCCCGAAGCTCTCTAGGCCTCCCCTCTCCAACCAGCTGGCCTCAGAGGCTCTTGCCTGGGTTCTGGGGACACACAGAGGGCTCAGGTGTGGCCCTGTTGGGGAGACGGGGCTGGTGAAGGAGGGTGGGGTCTTGAGCGCTAGCATGGGGGGAGTGCAGGCGCTGAGGGCCTCCGGGAGGGTGCCTGGAAGAGAAGGAAGAGGGAACAGCATGAGCAGAGGCCCAGAGGTGTGAAGGCAGCACCCTGGTGGGGCGCCCCTCCTTACACCCCTGCTCATCGCCATTGGCAGTGGTACGGGTGGGAATGTCACCATCTCCCCCTGCAGGTGGAGGCCCCTGAGCTACCAGAAGACCTGCGGCACTGGGTGGCCTACAACGAGGCCAGCAGTCAGCTGCTCAGGGCTGAGAGCGGGCTCAGTGACGTCGTCAAGGACCAGTGAGCACCGCGCCCTGCCTGCCGGCCTCACCCTGGGGGCACCTGCCCTCCCTTCCGGGCCTGCCGGGGGCAGAGAGTGCAGAATGGGCCCGCCGGGCTGGGCTGTCTCCCAGCTGGAGTGGCCTGCTGTTCGGCGGGCTTGGCCCACCCCCTCCCCACGCTCAGACCCTCCCTCCACCAGCCAGTTATCGACGCCCCCCCCCCCCCACGCTGGGCTCCGGACAGCAGGGTGGGGGACACACACACAGATGCCCTGACCCAGCTCTGCCCTCGGGGTGGAGATGATGAGGAAAATGGGAGGCCCAGGGCCCTCAGCGTGTGGGCGCTGGGGGGCTGGGGGGCTGGGCCCCACCCTGCAAATGAAGCCACACTTCCACAGGCTCAAGTTGGGAGAGTGCTTGGACCAGAGGGGCCAGCTAAAGCCATCCTGAGCACCAGAGCCTGGAGTTTGATGGAGGTGAGGGGTGAAGCCAGAGCGGTCCTGGGGGCAGGGCTGGGGCCTGATTCCGGCCTGGTGAGGAGCTGTGAAGGGTCGGAACAGCATTTCGAGGCAGATCCCTGTGGCTGTGGGTGGGGGAGAGGCAGGCCCAGGCAGACTGACCAGAGGGCACGGGGGTTCCCCTGGGGTCGGGGAGGGCCTATGGCCAGAGGGTGGGCCAGGGCCAGTGCAGGTCAGATGGCACAGGGTCTCCTGGGGTGGTGGTGAGCTTCCTGTCCTACTTGGGGCCTGCTGCTGAGCAGGGAGCAGAGCAGAGAGCGGGATTCTGCCTCGGTGCCCTCTGCACCTTGCCCTCGCTTATCTGCACCCCGGGTGCTTCTAGGGCTGCACTCTGTGACTGTGGGTAGGACCCCACCGTCTCTGGGCCTACAGCACCTCAGGTGTCTACCCTCCTGGGGTCGTCCTCAACATGTGCCCTGCTGGTGACTCTTCCCTTCCTATGCTGAGGGGCTGCCTCGCTCCCTGGGCTGGGGCCGAGGAAGGGTCTTCTGGGCTTTGCCTGATGCTGGGACACCTGCTGAGTTGCCTGCTCCTGCCTAATCGCTTGCCTTCCAGCTAGGGAGGCCTGAAGAGAAGCAGAAACTGGCCCAGACGGCAAGGCAGGGGTGGGCAGAGCAGGGAGCCTTAGCTCCCTGGCTGGCTGGGGACACAGGGGTCAAAGCCCTGGGGGTGGGATCGCTGCTTGCTCCCGTGTGTGGCTGTTCAGGACGAGGTGGCCACCTGCCTGTGCATCCGCCAGCCTGTGGTGTGCACCAGAGCCGTGGAGCCCCGGAACCACCTCCTTCACCCTGTCCGGGTGCCCCACCTCCCACTGGAGCTAGGAGCACAGCAACGCCCCGATCCCTTGCCTGCCCCCCATGCTGACATCTGCCTTACAGCCACAATGGGAAAGCTGCAATGTTTCTGTTTTATTTAAAGAAAGCCCAAGATTAAAGAGTTTTTAACGCCTGTGTGCTGGGGGAAGTCCTCATTTGTCAAGGCCTGGCCCCCCAGGGAAGCCGTGGGCCACTCACAGCTGTGTGTTCCCACAAGGGGGGCTGTCTAGGCTTCTCGGGTTCCTGTGAACTTAGGGACCTGGTAGGCAGGGCAGGACTTGCTCCCATTTCACAGAACATGGGACCAAGGCCAGAAAGGATTTGCCCCAACCTCTGTGTAGGCCCTGCTGCTCTCCTTGTCCCCAGTCCCCGGGCCTTGCTGCCCAATCTGTGGGTGGCTGGTGTCCATTTCTGGTTTGGTCTTGGGATCCAGTCCCAGGATCCTCCGGAGGAGTTTGGGAGGTTAGGCCTCAGACTGGGATTACTGGGGTGAGGTTGTGGGGTGGCAGGTGGGGCAGAGGTCAGTGGACTGTAACGGGTCTGGGGTGGGGTCAGCATAGGGGTTATTCTGCAAGCCCCTCAAAGAAGGTAGGTGGTGGAGGCTGCCAGGATATAAGGCAGGGGCTGATGGCGTGGGCCACGTTGTGCTCTGGCCACCTGCTCAGGAGGGCCCGGCTCTGCAGGCCTGGAAAAGAATGGGCGGTTGGAAAAGTTGGATTTGCAGCAAGCATTCGGTGATGGGGTAGCGATGTGGCAGTGATGTGGCCTGGCTGAGGTTGCATGGCAGGCCCGTGGTCTGCAGCCAGGGAGGTGGGCTGAAGCCTCACTCTTCCCACCTCCTAGGCAGGCCCGGGGGCCCTGGGCTGGCCACGCTGGGCCTGACACCTGCCCTGAGCAGCCGGCCCCCAGCCTGCAGGGGCGCTTGGATATCTACATGGAGTATCTGTCTCTTCGCCTAAGAGGTGTTCATGCAGGTCCTGTGGGGCACATACAGGCAGTGGGGGAGCTTGGGGATCACTGCAGCTGTCAGGGACAGATTCCCCAGAGGGACTGGGGACAGGAAATGGTGTGCACACAGCGGGTCTGGGTCCCAGCAGGTGCATCGAGGGGTGGCGGCCAGTTGGCACCCTGGGGCAGGGCAGGGGCTGGGGGTCTATAGGAGGTGTTCAGGGTGGTCAGGGGCATCTGGGCTGAATGTCACTGTGTCCCACGGGGCACTGCAGTTTCTCTGTCCACTCAAGGGAGACACACCCCAGCCAGGTGGGAGCAGGGGGAGGGGAGGCTCTCGCTCTTTCTGTTTGGAGGCGGTCCAGCCACAGAGGGGAGGAAGGTCTTGCTGACTAGGGCACAGTGGGGTTTGAGCAGCCTCACCCATCCGCTTGTGAATGACCTCCCGTCCTTCTGCATTCTTTGTGACCCCACGAGCCAACTCCTCCATCCTAAGGCCCCAAGTGCCCCTGCTGGTGTGAGCAGCTCCGGTCTGCACTGCGGCCACCCCAGGGCCAGCCCTCCCAAGGCCCAGTCTGTGGCCTCCCCAGCTCCTGAGGGGGACACCGGGCTGTGCAGGGCTGGGAGGTGTTCTCAGGCCTGCAGACGTCAGGGGCTCTCCTTAGGCTCATGCCACTTGGCCAAGTTCGAGGTGGCAGCTCCCACCCTGGGAGGTCCCCGCAGCCCTTCGCCCAGGTGGTGATGGGCAGGGGCTCCCTCTGTTGGCCATGCCCATGCTGTGCGGAGGCCCCCAGGTGCATGGGGCCCCCCACCTGTTTTCCCCAGGAATGGGGCGGCTGCCCACCCCCTCTGCATCCTGGAAAAGCTCAAAGGCAATACCCCTGTTGCCCCACTGGAAGCTGAAGCCAAGAGCTGCAGTGTGATACTGTTCAGTCCCCATGTCTGAGGTGGTGGCCCTGGCCCCTTGCCTCCAAATCCAGGGCCCAGTAGAGGCTCTCTGGAAGGCCGGCCATGTGCAGAACCTGGAAAGTGCCCCAGCCCAGAGGGCACTGGTGGGCATTTGGACCTGGAGCGGGGCAGTGGCACGCTGGGCTGACGCACGTTCCAAGGCTGCTGGTGTGCTGGGTGCGGCTCCTGCCCTCCACCTCTCTCCAGGGCTGCAGAGCCAGGTCACGACCAGGGCCAGCTGGGGAGCCTCCTGAGGGGAAAGCAGGAGCCTGAGGTTCGGCCCCCCAGGGCCACTGCTGCCCATCTGCTGGTTGGGAGTGCTGCTGCCGGCCCAGGGGGCACAGAGCCCAGCCCTGGCCCTTGGTGTCTGGGATGAGCTGGGCTGTCCTCGCACACGGTTCCATGCACGCGGTTTCCTCTCATTTCAACTGTCTCCAGGGCTAAGGACACAGTAGGCCCCTTGTCAGGGGAGGTGACCAAAGCCTGTGGAGGTGTGCAGGTGTCCACTGGCCCAGATGCGCCCCACCCCACACGCTCCCGGGGAGACCCGGGCTGGGCGGGCAGGCTGCCTGCACGTCCACGGGCTCCCTTCCCAGCTTCCCCATGCTGGACCTGTGGAGCCGGACATGCCCACCCTTGACTCCAGCTTCCTTCCCACCTGGGGGGCGGGGGGTGGGGTGGGGGCAATGCCTCCAGGGGCTGAGGGGAGACTGGAAGTGGGGCCAGACTTCCCTTAGGCTAAGGAACTGGTCCTAGTCTGAGGTGGTGCGGGACTGGTTTGCAGGAAGGCCGGCCTAGGATGCATTTCTCCCCCGGAGCCTCCATTTCCCCTTCTGTGAAATGAGTATGAGTGGCCCTGGGTGAGAAGGGGGGTCAGGTGTCCCGAATGGGCCTGGCTCAGCCCGGCACTCCTGAAGGCTGGCTCCATGGGCTCTTGGCAGCCAGGAAGGAAGGAGGCCGCCTCTGCCTCAGCTTTGTTTATTCTCTGTAAGTGTGGGAGACAGAGAGTACCCCTGTCAAGGCTCTGGGCCCTTGGGCTCCATGATTAACCCGAGGCTCAGGGAGCTCATGGAAGCATGTGGCTACGTAGAGATGATCTCCGGTGGTGCCGGGCCCTTCAGGGAAGGAGGCGGCCGAGGAGTGTGGCCCCCAGTGGGGCCAGGGCCCTGGCACCCAGCCTGGTGGCCTACATGGAGTTGCACAAGTCACGGAAGCAGCAGTAGACAGGGTGGGCGAGCCCCATGCTGTCGGGGTCAGTGGCTATGCAGGAGGTGCTGCAGGAGCGGATCACCATGGGTCTCTGGTTGAAGGGGTACTCTGCAGGGGTGGGCAAGTGTCAGAGCCTGCTCCTCCCCTGCCCAGTGCCCTCCCCAGCTGCCCCAACCTCCAGGCACTCGATTTGGCCCTTCCTGACTGACTGCTCCAGTGAAAGCCGGTGACCCCCAGACTAATGGCTGGGCCTGGGAAGTCCTCCATGCTCCTCCCTCCAGGCCCCCTGCTAGGGGATGCAGTGCAGCCTTGGGGTGGGGTCCTGGAGCCTCAAGGCTGATGCAGCCCTTGTGCTGCACCCCAGAGCCAGTCTGTGGGACCTCCACCGCTGCCCCCCACAGCCCTGAGGACCATTTGGGGAAGGTGACCACTGTGGACCCCCAGCCCACTGTGGGCTGGACTCACCTGACTCTATCTGCACCAGCATGGTCTTGCAGGCCGTGGCCTCTGGCTTGCAGTAAGAAATGTTCTTGCACAAAGAAATGGCTGTGGGCTGCTCACATGTGAAGCATTTGAAGGCCTCACCTGGGCGAGGGATGGGGCAAACCTCATCACCTGGCCTTGAGACCCATCTTGGAAGGCTGGAGCCAAGGCCCTTACGGTCTAGCCCCTGGGCATACCCCACCTGGAGTGTCTCCCTTCCCATCCCTGCTTGGGGGAGGTAGCTCGCCTCGCTGAGACCCTTCAAGGCCCAGGGCTCTGGCCAGCAGACTGGAGCCCTGCATTCCTCCCCTGAGCCTTGGTTTTCCTGCCTGGAAAATGGGGCCTTGAAGCCTGTCCCGATCGAAGGCTCTAGGGCCCAGGAGGCTCATTTAGGGCAAGGGAGATGAGCCTAGGGGGTGCCCAAGGAGGCCTTCTGCCCAAGTCCCAGAAGGGCTTTCCCCCGCCAAGGAGGTGGGCCAAGTGAGGCCTAGAGACATGTCCCTTGCGAGCCACACCACCGTCCCACTCACCGGCATGCAAGCTGGAGGCTGCGATGAGCAGCAGCGGGAGCACAGCCCTGCACCAGGCCATCTGCCGCACTCAGAAGCCGGGAGAGGCAGAGTCTGGGCCACCTCTGTGGACACTTATACCCTCCCCTCCCTGCGGTGCATGCCAGGGTGGCGGCGGAAGTGGTGTGTGAGTCAGCGGGGTGGCCCCGGGTAGAAGTGGGAGGTAGCGGGCGGGACGGTGGGCAGGCGGGCCGCATCACTCCCAGGCCCTCAGGGAGGGGGACCCCTCACTCCTCGAGCCTGTGTGGTGCCGGCCCGCACAGACGCTACACGGGCACTGAGCCGCACGGGGGAGGCCCTGGCCTGGACTCAGGTCAGTTTCCTTCACACCCAGTTGTCCTCCACCTGACACAGGTGCCCAGCAGAACACAGGCCCGGAGGGGGGGTTCAGGACAAGTGCAGAGGAGGGTGAGTGCCTGCTGAGGTGTGGGGTGGTACGGGCCCCCCGGGCTACTCTCGGGCGGATGGGTGTGGGGCTCCAGACAGGCCCCACCGTCACTTCTAGCCCCTTCCCCACAAATGACCTTGAGGCCAAGCCTGACCTTCCCAGTTTAGGCCCCCGGACAACAGGGTTCTGCCCACCCCCCACCTCCTGGCCTGACAGCCTTCTGTGACTTTGTTCACTGCCCACCTCCCTTCGCCGGCTTTCCCATGCCCACACCTTTGTCTGTGCTCTGCCTCTCAGTGGACACCATCTCTGGTCTCCCATCCTAGCCTCAAATCTTCCCCATGCTATAAGGCCGAGTTCAGTGAGTGGATGGTGGGTGAGTAGATGGCCGGGTGGGTGGGTGGGTGATGTTTGAGGGAGTGGATGGGTTCCGGGTGGAGTGAACGGCTGGAGAGCGCATGAATGGAGGGGGGAAAGATGGGAGAAGAAGGTAGATGATGGATGGAAGAGCAATTGGATGGGTAGGTGGCAGATGAAAGAATGTGGGGGGGCTGCTGAAGGGTATGGAGTTGTACCCCAATCTCCAGGCAGCATGACATGCTGGGAGGAGCTTGGGCTGGCACTCAGGATGCCCGGGGTTTGGTCTTAGTTTTGCTGCTGGCTCCACGTGTGGCCTTGGAGTGACTCCCTTGCCCCTCTAGATGGCATTCCTGTTTGTAGGATGAGACTAGGGACCCAGAGCAGTTCCGAGGGCCGACGTGACCTGGCCTTGTGGACTGAGGAAACAAAGAAAGGGCGTTGCTTGCAAAGGAATAGATGGCGGTTGCTGCAGCTCCAACAACTGGGCCTCACATGGCAGGTGCAGGCACAGACAGCGGCCAGGGTGGCCCTTCCCCAGGGCGGCCCTTCCCTGGGGCCTGGTCCGTGATTGCACCCAGGATGTTGCAAGAGGAGCCAGGGAGTGTCTAGTGTGGAGTCTGACAGATTGAGTGGGTCCCAGCCCCGCCTGACCTCCTGTGTGACCAGTCTGCTCACGAATCCCTCTGACCCCCTTTCTTTCACCTGTAAACTAGGCAGAGCGTCCTGTGCCCCAGAGGGCAGCTGTAAAGACAAGGGGGTGGACGGGGACCTGGAGCAGCCATGGGGCGAGCGTGCCGAGAACACAGCTGGCATGGGCAGGAGGGTGAGAGACCCCATGTGCTGTCGGGGGCTGCCTGGAAGGGCCCTTGCTCTGGCTTCGGAGGGGAGGGAAGGTCAGGTGGGAGCAGTGGCCAGGAGCAGGGCACAGAGCTTTCCCATGTTTCCCTGGAAGGCTGTGTGCGCGTGCGTGTGTGTGTGCGTGTGTGCGTGTGTGTGTGTACTGGGTCCCAGACCAGGCTCTAAGACTCAAGTGACCCCACCACTCTCCTCACTTTTGTGGTAGACACGAGAAACGCCATGGGAGAAGTGTGAGGAATTACTGGACGGGGGCCCCTTCGTGACAAAGTCAGAGTTCAGAGCTACAACCCCAAATGGAGGCATCTTGACAGCACTTGACCGTGCCTGGCCTCCCAAGCTCCCTGCCGTTCCCGGAGACTGCCGAAGGGGTCCCTGGTGGATGGTGACCATGCAGTGCGGTCAGCCTGTGCTAGACACATGGGGCGGGGGGCTTGCTGGGCAGTGGGGGTTCTGTCCTCAAGGATCTGTCTCAGGACCACAGAGCCCCTGAGACTGTAGGTCTTGCCACAGGAGGCAGAGGTGTGGGGTTCCTGGGGTCCCAGGGATAGGGGGCCTTCTGGCCACTGGTCTCCTCTCCCAGAGGCATGGGGTGTCCTTTGCCTCAGGACAGTCCTGCTTCAGGTCCTGGCTGCCCCCTGCCATCCATCCAAGAGCTGGGAACCCCAGAGAGGGTGAGGGCTGGTTGTGAGGGCTCTTTGGACTCCGAGTTAGAGGCTAGTGGGGAGAACCCCAGCCCCATCTCAGCTTGGCTGGATGCCACTGCTGTGCCCCCCCCCCTCCCAGGACCAGGCTCACCCAGGGGCCCAGGAGAAGCCGCTGGAGCAGAGGACAGAGAGGAGGGACAGGTCCCAGGGTGACTGAGGCCCTCTCCTCCCCTCCCCCTCCCGCCTCCCCCAGGTGGTCCTGGGAGGGTGATCTGGAGGATTTGGTGCTGGCCAAGGCCAAGGTGGAGTGAAGGTCCCCTCTGCCCTGGAGCTTGGGCTGCCCTGGGCACCCAGGGAGTGGGGCTTGGTGAGCCGGGAGAAGGCAGGTGGTGGATGTGCCCAGTAGCATCCCCTGCCGCCCGACATAAGGGGACCGTGTCCAGGGGCCAGGTGAGTGGGCAGGAGGTGCTTCATGGATCGATCCCGGATCCCAGGCCACCCTTAGCCCTCCTGGATCTTCCTTCCACCGGGCTTGGCCTGCTCTCCTCTACCCAAACAATCTCTCAGTCACTCAAAGCCCTGGCCTTAATGGCCCCCTCCTCCGAGAAGCCACCTGTGACCTGGCCCTGGCAGGAGTGGTGCTACCCCTGCCTGTGGGGTCCCACTTTCTGCCCTACTGCAGTCGGGCCCCCTGCAGGGCCCAGAGAGCAAAGTCCTGCCCGGTTTGCTGGCCTAGTGACCATCCCTGCTCAGCATGTCTGGGGACATGGAGAGGAGACAAACAGGGGCAGCCCTGTGGGTGCGGAGAGCCCCAGAGAGAAGCCAGAGGCCAGGGGGTGCAGAGATGGACCAGGAGAGGAGGGGCTGAGAATGGGCAGGACGGGGACACAGGACGAAGGGGCAGAGCCAGACTTGAGGCTCAAGGCCCTCCCGCCCCGGTGGGCAGGGCTGCCGAAAGGAGATGCAGGAGGCCTGGTGCAGGGACAATGCTTCTTCAGGGGCGCTTAGGGCTGGCACGGATGGGGGGTGGGGACAGAGGGGGCGGGGGCTCTAGAGGCTGAGGCTGCAGAGCAGGAGGAGCGCCAGCGCCAAGGCCAGGCTGCGGCCGCCGTCCAGGGCGGGGGCCCCGTCTATGTTGCAGAGGTCCGTGTTGCAGCAGGACACAGGCCGGGTCTGACCGATGCCGTCCACGTCCGAGGGCACACACTGCACCGCGCAGGACTTGGTCACCGTGGAGTCCCCCAGGAAGGGGTACACTGTGGGCCATGTTGCATGCCTGGTCAGCTCACGAGCTTCAGGGACCCCACGCCCAGCCCCGTGACCCCAGGGTGGGATCAGTCCCTCCGTGACCCGTCCCCCACTCCCCTTTCCTTCCGCCACTGTGGGCGGAGTGCCGCCTCTGTGCTGGGGACACAGCGACTTGCACAGGATTCCTGGCTGGGTGAGGCAATTCCTCTCCAGGTAATCCCCGGGCAAGGTGAGGATTCCTTTCCATTAAAGGAAAGAAGGGAGGAGGGAGGAAGGCCTAATTGCTTGGACCAAAAACCCTTTTGCAAACGGCTAAGGCAGTGGATGCACACTGCGCATAGATGGCCAGGAGTGACCGTCCTGGAGGCAGCTCTGACCCTGGGACCCTGGCCCCTCCCCACCCAGCCCCCGCCGACCTGTCTCCAGGGGGTAGAGGGTGGTCACCCCGCCCCCCTAGCCCCCGCTGACCTGTCTCCAGGGAGTAGAGGATGGTCTTGCATGCGGTCTCGTTGGCGCTGCAGGTGGCGATGGTCATACAGCTGGACGCACCCGTAGGCTCATGACAGGTGTAGCATCGCAGGGCCACCACTGGATAAGAAGGGACAAAGGACGCATCAGGCAGGCCCTGCCCCTCCCCAAGCCCGCTCTCCTGGAGGCACAGGTTTGAGGGGGACCATGCCATTCAGGCTCCAGTTGCCCAGCGACCCAAACTCTGGGAGGACTCGGGAGGTTTGAGCTGTGGTCCTTAGAGACGGAGTGTGCCCCTGACGGGCTCAGCCTGCAGG